CCTTTTGTGACTCCTCACACAATGAAGCAGCCCAGGTCCAAATGCCCATGACCTGGACATTCTCTAAGCTTGAGTTGAAAAGTGACAAGTAACATTCGCACCACATAAGTACCAGGCAAATGAGAATATAACCACTGCGCCTTGACATTCAATGGCATTACCATCACTGAATCCTGTACTAATCAACATGCTGGGGGTTACCATTGACTAGAAATTGAACTGGACCATTCATATAACTACTTTGGTTACAAGAGCAAGTCAGAGGCTAGGAATCCTACAGTGAGTAACTTACCTCCTGACTCTCCAAAGCCTGTCTGCCGTCTACCAAGCACAAGTGAGGAATGTAATGGAATACTCGCCACTTGGCTGGATGATTTTAACTGCAGTATCATTCATGAAGATCAAAAAAATCCAGGATGAAGCAGTCTAGTTGGTTGGCACCTTATCCACCACCTTCCACATTCACTCCCTCGAGCACCAATGCCCAGTGGCAGCAGAGTTCACCATTTACAAGGTGAACTGCTGAAACTTAACCAGAAATCCCTACAGCACTTTCCAAACTCTCAAACCTCTATCACCTAGAAGGGCAAGGTGAGCAGATGCATGCAGGTTCCCTCTAAGCAACATTCCATCCTGACTTGGAATTATATTACTGTTCCTTCATTGACATTGGTCAAAATTCTGGTATTCCCTCCCTAACAACACTGTGGGTCTTTTTTTAACCTATCACAAGGATTTGCAGTAATTCCAGAAGGCAGCTTATCACGACCTTCTGAAGGGCAATTCCTTTATTCATGCATGGGAAGAGGGCATCACTGGCTAGGCAGCATTTATTGCCCATCTCTAATTGCCCAGAGGGCAGTTAAGAGTCAATGACATTGCCGTGGGTCTGGAGTCACATGTCGGCCAGACCAGTTAAGGCTGGTGGTTTCCTTCCTTAAAGAACATTAGTGAACCAGATGGGTTTTTCCCCAACAATTGACAATGGATTGTGTGATCAGCATTAGACTTTTAATTCCAGGTTTTTCCTTTCTTTAAAAATTGAATTTAGATTCTACCATCTGCTGTGGCAAGATTCAACGTCAGGTCCCCAGAACTTTATGTGGGTCTCTGGATTAACAGTTCAGCGATAATACCACTAGGCCATCGCCTCCCTTAATTAGGGATGGGCAATAAATGCTGACCCAGCCAGGGACACCTTCGTCCTGTGAATCAGTGTAAAAATAAAAAGTAATTGGAATATTAGTAGGCCATTTAATCCATGAATCTACTCCGCTATTCAATGAAATAATTGATAATATGTGACCTAACCTAATATTTGCCTTTGCCCCATATCTGTTGATATCTTTGATAGATTTTTGTTAATTAATCTCATCTTTAAAATTACCAATTGATCTACAATTGTGAAAGAGAGTTTTAAGCTTTTACCACTTTTTGTATGGTAAGGTCTGGCTCTAATTTATAGACCATGCCTCTTCATTCTAAACTTCCCAATGAGCAGATGTATTTTCACTCTATCCACACTATTTGCTGCATTTAATATATTGTAAACTTTGATCAAATCATCCCTTATTCTTCTAAACTGGGAAGAATACAGTATTCACTTGTACAGACTGTCCTCCTAATTAAAGTCTCAGCATCCAGGTATCATTCTGGTTAAACAAAATCCGAAAGAACCGTGGATGCCGTAAATAAGAAACAAAAACAGAAATTGCTCAAAAAGCTCAGCAGGTCTGGCAGCATCTGTAAAGAGAAATCAAAGTTAATATTTCAGGTCCAGGTTCAGAACACTGAGGAAGGGTCACTGGACCTGAAATGTTAACTTTGATTTCTCTTCACAGATGCTGCCAGACCTGCTGAGCTTTTCCAACTACTTCTGTTTTTGTATCATTCTGGTTAATCTCCATTGCACTCCCTACTGAGTCAAAATATCCTTCCTCGGCTATGGTGCCCACACTGCTCACAGTATTCCAGGCAATGATCCAAACACGGCTTTGTAAAGCTGAATCAGGACTTCTACCTATTTTATACTCTAATTTTCTGTTTAAAAATGCCAGCACTCTTTTAGCCTTTTTGACTGCTATATTTACGTGTCAAAGAGATTTTGACCCTCGAGTCTTGCGGAACCTCCATAGTTTTTAGCTTTAGTCAGCGATGGCTCAGTTGCTCGTACTCTCATCTCCATGTGAGAAGTGTGTGGATTCAAGTCTCACTTCCAGTATTTTAGCATAAAAATCAAGGCGTTCCATTGTTGTACTGAGAGAGTGCTGCACTGTTGGAAGTGCTGTGTTTCAGATGAGATGTTGAGCTAAGGCCCTGTTTTCCCTATAAGGTGCTATATAAATGCAAGACTTTTACAGCATTTAAAAAATACGTTATTCTATCCTTCTTGATTACAAAATGGGTTATCTCATACTTGATTTCACTGATTTCATTCATTTCAGTGTATTGATGATTCACCCAATCTATCAATATATAGTTGTAATTTTATCATTCCAACTATATGACAACACCACCTACTTTTATCAGAAGTGAAATACTGCAACAGATTGCTGGAAACCTGGAATAAAACAGAAGGTGCTGGAGAAACTCAATTGGTCTGACAACATCGATGGAGAGAGAAACTGAGTCTGCCTTTCTTTGTAATGGGCAAATTTGTATTTGTATTTTGATCTTTCTATCACATCATCTTAGTCAGAGCTTCCGAAAGTGGGAATCTTTTGAGTTACAAGTCCAAGGCAGTAATGGCTGATATGGAGCTCTGAACAAGTGGTCAGCCACAAGGCAGCTTTTATCCTTCCTCTGTTCAAGCGTGGGCATGGCTTAAATTATTGACCCGGAGGCCTGCATCTGGTAACTGTAAAATTATTTGGCTTTATATTCTTTTAAAAATCCATGAACTCTCCTCATAACACTTTCTATTTCATACTCCTTTTTCTTAGTGAGATACCCTCTCACCCCACCACACACTCTAACAATTTTCATTGAGTTGACACACTAATTTTTCAAATTTGAACTGGTGTCGCAGTCGGTAAAACAAAAGTTTATCAAAAGGTCTCTTTACAAATCGAGGCTCATTCTTTCTTCAATCACCTGAAAATTTTCAAGGTGTCCAAGTAACCAATCCAAACAGATTCTAGCAATTTCCCAACAAGGGATATTAAGCTAGCTGGTCTATAATTCCCTCCCTCTTCTTGCTTACACAGGCAAATGACATATGCAATTTTAGAGTTTAATGGAGCAGTCCCCAAATTGAGAACTTTGGAAGATCATAGTTACAGCACCTGCAATACTGCTTATATAGCAAATAAAGTTACATCCACAAATAAAATTCATTTTAGATTAGCAAGGGGCACGTCCAGCGACTTAGGTAATGTCTGGAAGTCCAAAAGGATCAGTATAAAGCTGGAAAAAACATGTAGCAACAGACACAGATGTGAAGTTGCACTTTGCAGATGCAAGAGTTGGACTTCAGTAAGAGGAGGATAACAGCTTTTTAAATGTGGGAATGGTAAAGGATGCTCAGAATCAACTGAATGGATAGAGAAAGACAAATGAGTTGGTTAGATCAAGAGCAGATGTTCAGCATTTAAAAGGGTTAGAGAGAGAAAGATAGAGGATTGGAACCGAGGACCACACGGCATTGTCCTAGCAATAACTGTAGAAAAACTTGAGGATAAAAACAGAAGGGAAGAATAAGAGAGAGATGTGTTGATAACATTTAGATATCGACTGAGGGAAGAAATCCAGAGAAGAAACAAGACTGCCCACTGATTCATTAAGATTATGATGACAACAAAAAAAAAAGAATTCCTCGTGGTCGTACGGTCTATATTCTCACAAATTTCTGAGTAAACATGTTCTCCTGAATTCTCTGTTTGATTTTTTGATGACTATCATATTTTAATGACCTCAGATATCCAAGGGCTCAAAATAGTGGATGCCGTAAAATATAGAAAATTCAGGGCGTTACTTAAGAAAGAAATTTGGAGAATGAAGAGGGAACATGAAACAACACTGGTGGGGAACATTACAGAAATTCTAAAGGCATTTTATAAGTTGCTGATGCCAAGAGAATAACCAGGGAAAGAGTAGGGCCCATTCAGGATCAAAGTGGGAACCTGTGTGTAAAGCCAGAAGAACTATTTGAGATTTTAAATAAGTACTGTGCATTGAAAGGGAAGAGGTATTAGTAGTTTTAGTGGTATTAAGGGTGGATAAATCCCCACAGCCAGATGAGAACTACCCCAAACTGCTTTGGGAGGCAAGGGAGGAAATTGCAAGGGCTTTGACATTGATTTTCACATTCTCCCAGGAGGGGTGCCAGGGGACTGTAAGTGCCATTATTCAATAAGGGTGGTCAGGATAAACCAGGAAACTACTGGAAAGTGAGTTCAACATTAGTGCTATGGAAACCATCGGAAAAAATTCTGATGTACAGAAGTAATCTCCACTTGGAGAGACAAGGATTAATCAAGGATAGTCAGCATGGCTTTGTCAGGGAGTGATCATATCTAACAAATTTAATGGAATTTTTCGAGGAGGTAACTAGGTGTGTGTGTAAATGAGGGTAGTATAGTTGATGTCTCCATAGATTTCAGTAAGACTTTTGGCACGGTGTTGCATAGCAGGCTGATTAAGAAGCTAAAAGGACACAGCTTGTGGTGAGTACAACTGAACACTCTTACCCACCTTTCATACATGATGAGCATAGCTTCTATCCATCTAGAAATAAACCTGAGTATTTGCACGATTCTTTATTAGGTTATATGTTTCTGGATGTTTTCTATTTACCCCCTTAGCCAGGATACTATTGTTGTTCCTGACATCAACATCAGACTGAACGCTGAATGTGTTCTAGCTTCCTTTTTAAACAAAAATATAAGATTTACTACTTGTCTTTTTTGACACTACACCTTTTTAAAACAAGTTATTAAATATATGTAATGGCGAATATGTTTAAGTGTCATTTTATGAAGACTATCTGTTTTATTGTTTAGACATGATCTTCCAAGATTCAGAAAAGCCTGCAGCGCATGTTACTGGTAAGTCTATATGCAAGTGGCATAATTAAAAGTAAGTAATTCAGATTGTCACGCAGATATCTTAACTCTATATTCATGCAAATAACCTCAAAATGCCAACTATGATTTTATAATGGTATCTTATTAGAGAGTCCAGCGCCTGTTAGTGGCCTTGTTGTAAGGTGGTAAACACTATCATAAGATTCAGAGACAACACAGTGTGGAGCTAGAAGGATACAGCAGGCCAGGCAGCATCAGAGGAGCAGGAAAGTTGATGTTTTGTGTTGGAGCCCTTCTTCAGAAATGGGGAGGGGGAAGGGAGCTTGAAAATAAATACAGAGAGGAGGGGTGGGGATGGGGAAGGTAGGTAAGGTGGTGATAGGTGAGTGCAGGTAGGGAATGGTGGGGATTGGTCAGTGAGGTGGGAGGGGCAGATAGATGGGAGAGAAGATGGACAAGTTGTGTCAGGTCAAAGAGGCAGGGATGAGAGGGAGGGTTGGTCATGGGATGAGACTGGGGGTGGGGAGATTTTGAAACTGGTAAAATCCACGTTTAGGCCATTGGGCTGTAGGCTCCCGAGACGGAATATGAGGTGCTGCTCCTCCAGTTTGCGGGTGGTGTCATTGTGACACTGGAGGAGGTCCAGGATGGACATGTCACCTAGGGAGTGGGAGTGGGGTTTGAAATGGTTCACGACTGGAATGTGTTGTCGTTTGTCACGAACAGAGCACAGGTGCTCTACAAATGTAGAGGAGGCCACATTTCTCAAGTCACCTTTACAGGGAGAATGTGTTAGTAAGCGGTATGGTCGTTTAATGATTATTGGATTAACAATCTAGAAGTCATGAGTTCACATTTCACCATGGGAAATTTAGAAATTGAATTCAATAAATCTAGTAATTTGTAGAAAGCACAAGAAAACTGAGAGTATGGGATTTAAAGGTCACATTTGCATTTCAATAAAGACAGTCTGATACCCAGTTTTGTTATTCCAGTACCAAATTATATGATTTCCTCTTAAGGGCATGAAAAATTTCTATAACTGCTATAAAGTTCAGTAAGAAGATATCCAAGTTTGGAAAATTGAATATTGATAATTATATTCAGAGATGGAACTTATCCAAAGCATTTATGTGTCAACTAAGAGTCCTCCATCATTGGTCTTGTCTGAGGACCACTGTATGTTACCAGAGGTGGGAGCACATTCAGAATGACTGATTCTGACAGCCTTCGAAATTACGCTGGACTTCAAGAAGTCTAAATGGCTTCAAATTTAAAAAAAAATTGATGAAACCTCCTGCAGAACACCACCTACATCATCACAATGTAAATCAGTATTTCTCCACGTTGGTCATTACTTATAGGAATTTCTGAGGGAAATAAGTGCACAGAATATACTTTGGTTGGGATTTTCGATGCCGTTCATTAAGTGAATCAGTAGTATATCACTGACCAAGCTGATGAAGTTCTGAATGACAGACTGAATCTGGTGATGAGAAAATTAACATGAAAAACTAGTCAACTTGATCTTTTCACAGCTTAGCTTATTATAGATATATGTGTGGGTATATCTATGATATTTCTATCAGAATTGACCATCACATATGAAGATACATTTCATAGTTTACTGTAGCACGATAACCATACTAAGTTACCCTGATGAAGACAAAGATTAGCAAACCTTTTTGTACTGTGACTCCATATTAAGCCTTGGAAATTGTCACAGTCCTTCAGGGAGACTTGGGCGAGGTGGAAGTGATAGATCTGTGACAACTGGTGCGGAATGGAAGGTTGCTTTAAGAGCTAGTGGTTATTAGAGTGGGAGCATAGTTATTATAATTTAGAGCTCCACAGCGTCCGTGGCTGCCACAGAGATTGTAACTCTACTTGTGTTCCTAATCTCCAATCAGAGAGCCAGACTAAGGACAGATATAGTGGCACATATATATCTATAATAAGCTAAGTAGGCATTCATGAGGTGTGTTGGAATAGTATGCGACCGCTATTTGTGATTTCATTGCTTTTGCACGTTCTTTAAATCTTGAACACAATGAAGCCAGGACACCAACCCTAGTTCAAAATGTATTAGAGAAAAACATAGAAGGTGCTGGACCAGATCTGTGCAGTAATAAGCTACAAATCTAATCAGGCAACCCACAGAGCTATTAAAAAAGAAGCAATAAAAATATTCAGGTCAGAGAGAAACAAAGTTGGCATTTCAGATTGATGACTTTTCACAGGAAAGCACAGGTTACCTGCATATTAGACCATAAGACTTTAAGAATTAGGAAGTGGAGTAGCCCACTTGACCCCTCCAGCCTGCTCCACCATTCAACGGGATCATGGCTAATCTCACTGTCCTCATGCCTAATTCCTGCCCTCTCCCCATAAGCAACGATTCTTCTCCTGATCAAGGTTCTTTCTCAGCCTTAAATATACATAAGGATGCTTCTCTCTGTGGCAAGGAATTCCAAAGGCTCACAACCCTGTGAAAGAAGAAATTCCTCCTCATCTCAGTTTTAAATTGGCACCCCTGTAACCTGAGACTAGGCCTTCTGCTCCTTGACTGTCTCAGTCCATGCAGCATTTACACTGTCAAGCCCCTTAAGCATTCTATATATCTCAACTAGGTCACCCCTCATTCTTCTAAATTCCAACGAGTAGAATTCCAACTTGTATAATCCTCACTCTTAAGACATTCCCTCCATTGTGAAGCTTGTCTGAACTGCCTCCAATGAAGTGATTATCTTGCTTAAACAAGGGAATCAAAACTGCTCACAGTACTCCAGATGTGGCCTCATCAGCAACTTGCAGCAAGGCTTTCCTTCGTGAACCAGATTAAAAGAAAGCACGAATGCAGCAGGTTATACTTCAGTAGTCTCACAGCAACACATAAGAACAAAGAACCTTAGCCCTACCAATTATAACTGAGGATCATGGAGATCAAGAAATCCAACTGGGAGAGGCTTCATGAATCCTCAAACACGGTGTAGTCCATAACATTAAAGCTTATGCGTTAAGAAGAATCTTTAGCCAGAAGTGCATCCTGACTGGATGACTCTTTTCAGCTACTCCTATAATCCCCACCACTATGGATATCAATTTTCATCAATTTGGTTTAATCAACATGAATAAATGACAGGCGTTTCTGTGGCCGTGAACAAGACTCTAGGATGGTGTGTTGCCTCCCTGGTGCCAAGGTCCTGGATGTCTCTGAGTGGCTACAGGACATCCTGAAATGGGAGGGAAAATTGACAGAAGTCATTGTCCATATTGCCACAAATGACATAGGTAGGAAGAAGGAAGAGGTCCTGTGAAGACAATTCAGGTAGTTAGGTAGGGAGCTAAAAAGCAGGACTACCAGCGTAGCAATCTCAGGATTACCACCTATGCCACGGGCTAGTGAGGCTAGGAACTGAGAGCAAGTACATTAGAACATGTGGCTACAGAGCTGGTGTAGGAGGAAGGGCTTTAGATATATGGATCAGTGGGATGTCTTCTGGGGAAGGTAGGAACTGTACAAGAAGGATGGGTTGCACCTGAACTGGAGGAGCACCAATATCCTGGGCGAGAGGTTTGCTAGAGCTCTTCGGGAGGGTTTAAACTAGTGTGGCGGGAGGGTTGGGAACTGGAACAACAGGCCAGTAAGTGTAAGGACTGGGTACAAAACTGAGAACGAGATATGCATTGGGCAGAGTAAGAGCAGGCAGAGGAAGCCGCAGAGCACAGAGGGACTGGAGGTCTGGACTGCATTTACTTCAATGCAAGAAGTATAACAGGTAAGACAGATGAACTAAGAGCATGGATTACTGCATGGAATTATGATCTTAATGCCGTACAGAGACATGGTTAAAGGAGGGATAGGACTGGCAGCTTAACATTCCAGAATATCGCTGTTTGAGATGGGACAGAAAGAGAAAAGGGGTGGGGGAATTGCACTACTGATTAGGGATCACATCACAGCTGTGTTGAGGGAGGACACATTGGAGGGATCTTGCAGTGAGGCATTATGGGTGAAGCTCAGGAATAGGAAGGATGAAATCATAATGTTGGGAGTTTTCTGTCGACCTTTCAGCAGCCCACAGGAGACAGAGGAGCAGATATGTAGTCAGATACTTGAAAGGTTTAAAAAAATCAGGGTAGTTGTGGTGGGTGATTTCAACTTTCCTCTTATTGACTGGGGCTCCCTTAGAGCCAGATGGAGAGCAATTTGTTAGCTTTGTCCAGGAGGGCTTTTTGAGACAGTATGTTGACAATCCAACCAGGGAATGAGCCAGGACAGGTGATCGATGTTTCAGTAGGAGACCATTTTGGGCTTAGTGACCATAACGCCATAAGATTTTGAGTAGTCATGGACATGGACAAGAGCGGCTTTCGGGTGAGGGTGCTTAATTGGGCAAGGGCCAGTTACATCCAAATTGGACAAGAACTGGGGAATGTGGATTGGGAGCAGTAACTTGAGGGCAAATCTAGGTCTGGCATGTGGAAGGCTTTTAAAGACCAGTTGATTAAAGTGCAGGACATGCATGTCCCTGCAAAACTGAAGGATAGAAATGGCAGGATGACAAGGAAAATTGTAAGCTTAGTCAAAAGGAAGAGGGAAGCATACAATAGGTCTAGGAAGCTACAAACTAAAGAAGCCCTTGAGGAGTATAGGGAAATTAGGAAGGAACTTAAACACAGAATTAGGAAGGCTAAAAGGGGCCATGAAATGTCTTTAGCAAACAGGGTCAAGGAGAATTCCAAGGCTTTTAATGCATATATTAGAAGAAAGAGGGTAGCAAGGGAAAGAGTAGGCCCACTCAAGGACAAAGGAGGGAAGGAATGCGTGGAGCCACAAGAAGTGGGAGAGATCTTTAATGAGTATTTTGTATTGGTATTCACCAAAGAGAAGGACATGATTGATGTTGAGGTCAGGGATGAATTTGTTGAATACTCTAGAGTATGTCAATATATTGAAGGAGGAAGTTTCAGGTATCCTAAATTGCATTGACGTAGACAAGTCCCCAGGGCCATATGGG